TTCAATCGGATCATTTTGTTTTCATTGACATTCCAGAAAACGTTCAATATACCCTCGTACTAGTTTGTTCCATAAAGGCATTCAATGAGCTAACAATAGTTTCATACGAATGGAAGGAGCTTTGTTTACAACGCAAATGAAAACCTATCAATAACCTTCGATCTTCAAAACGAAAAAGAAAGAGATACTTCCATTCCTATAGCTCTGTAATTTTAGAAGTTAAATTCATTTCAAGTTTGGCCAATTGAAATAAGGGCAATTCTCCCTTTCTACCTGAATTTCTCGAGTGAAGTACGAAAATCGTAACCGCAGATCTCTCGCGCGAACATCTCGATAAAGGCAGCACAGATCGACGGCGAGCGAACGCAACAATGTCGCTTCTAAATTCGAACGCGTGCAAAATCACGTACAATTACGTCACTAGCAGGACTAATTGTCGGTCGGGACTTTTGCTTTGGGTTCACCAAGCGGAGTACAGAAGGAGCGCGTGACGAATACGCGTTAAACCAGCGGTGGCGACAGTGGCGGCGACGGCGGTTTCATCATCATGGCTCAACGATTCGAAGACCGCACCGGACGGACGGTGACCGTGGAAGAAGCCGTAGAGTCCGCGACAAGATCGTGGCATAGCGGCACGGCGCGAATACCCCGCGGTATGAAGAATGAAGAAGTTAATAGCAGCCGCGCTCGCGAGCGAGGGAACGCCTAATCTTAGCCCTCGTGGAAATGGATTTTGTACTGTCAATGTAAATAGATGCGTTCGCACTTCTTGTAACTCGACTCGAACTCGTGAGTGGAAGGGTTGGTTCCAGCCAATCAGCTGGTCAGTATGCCAAATAGGGTTCACCTGCACACCCTTGTCTCGGTTGAGGATGTTCCAAAATTTCCAGGCCTTCACGATATTTTCTGGCGGAATTAAGAGCGCATTAAATGGTGACGATTGCAAGCTGCCGCTTATAAATTTACGAGGTAATCGACAGGAGCCGAAATAAATATTGGCCTTTTATCATAATCTTATCTGATAGATAAGAATATAATAAAAATATTAAAATTCTTTCCGAATCTTCCGTCGCGATTTTGACGTCAATTATACTCACGGCTCCTGTGATAACGGATTATCAGGCAAGCTCATGAGAGCAGAGGCTCCCAATCACGAAAAAACTGCGTTGAAATTGTTGCGCGAACAAGTGGTAGAATTGCTCACTGCGACGGCATTTGAGGGAAAACGCCGGTGAGCCGCTCATTGCCGCTGGCGTGACGTCGTTCTGCAAGAATTTGACGAATAGAACATCGGATCAACGTTCTCTTTCACGCCACGGCGTGGCTCATCGCGGACGCGCGCTATTATCGGGCGGAGGTATCTACCTATTAAACGGCATAATACTTACGCGCTATAAGGAGTCTAATTTGAGCGCAGCGGCGGCTCCGCCGCGAGAATAGTTTTAACAGCGTTCGGAGAGTCGCACCCGGATGCGCGAGCTGCACCGGCGACGGCGGTTCTATATATCGCGGCTTAGAGAGACAAACGTTCGAACGCTTCCTCGTTATAGCCGCCGGCTTTCGATCTTTTCGGAAACCGATCGAGCCAAGACTAATATCGAGGTCTACCCCTCGATAGTGAAAGAGCGTTTTAATTACGAAGATCTTCCTTTCGATTTCGCCGCGAGGTTCGTCAAATATTAAAGTGGAAGAGTTCATTTTACCATTTGTGCATTGAGTGAAAGCTGAAATTTGTGCCGACATTTTAAGAAAGTATTCGTCGAGATCCGCGACGTATACGAAGTTTGATTCTATTTTGAACATGGGAGGAAAGAAACGTGTATTTTCGATGCATTTCGTTCCTTTATTTTCCGAAAAGGCAAAAACGCGTCGCAAACAGATATGCGCCGTGTACGGAGAGAATGCCGAAAGTGTGTGTCGGAAGCGGAGATTTTGATCTTCAAGATGCTCTGGTCGCCCAGTCACTACTGATGTCGATCAAATCAAGGCTTTAATCGATATTTACGGAAGTTTGGGATGGTAAACAAGCTTGATGTTTGGGTGCCGCACGAATTGAGCGAAAAGAATGCAACGGACCGGATTTTAGCTTGCGATTCGCTGCTCAAACGCCATCAAAACGAACGATTTTTAAAGCGGCGAATGATCACTGGCGATGAAAAGCGGATTGTCTGTAACAATGTCAGTGGAAAAAATTCGAAGCGCGGAGAGGAGCGTGCTGAAACGGCTGGATTACACCCGAAGAAGGTCATGCTCAGTATCTGAAGGAATCGTCTATTATGAGCTGCTGCCAAAACGACTGATTCGTACTGCTCACAACTGGCGGAATTAAAGCGAACAATCGAACAGAAAGGGCGTTGTGTTCCAGCAGGACAACGCTAGACCACACGTTTCTCCGATGGCAAAAGTTATTGCGGGGTGGGACCTTCAGACTATCGCTTGTTCCGGGCGCTACAGAACAATTCGAATTCAAAACCACTTGGATGACTTCTATGAAAGAGGAATAATGAAGCCGGTGGAGAGATGGCGGAAAGTCATCGAACAGAATAGAACATATTTGATTAAAATCGCTTTTATATCTCGCGATCGCTTCTCTCCTCGCTTTCACGATCGTTAAACCTTCCGGGCTCGCGAATCGGCCGGTGCGCGACGCGGCAGAGGAAAGATAGAGATGCCCATGGGGCGCTTCCTCGGCTGGACGCGATTCTCTCTTCTCGTGACCGGAAGCGACGGGTCGAGCCCGGAACTCGGCGATCTCGTCGATTCTCTCTCTTAACGGTATATATCGCGGCGATCGATCGGGGAGATCGATCCTGCGGTATACGTTCGTGTTCCTGTACGAAACACGTCCAGCAAAAGGGAAAGAGACGGCGGAGACGGTGGAACGGAGAGAGAACGACGCGCTTTGCACGCACACACCGATAGGGATTTACGAGCGGTTTCGGGCAATCGCGAATAGAGATTAGGCCGGTAATTAACTATGGATCTGGTCTGCAGGCGAGTTCGCGAGGCGAGTAGTGGAGAGACCGTGGAGTCGGGTCGGCCCTATATACATAAGTGACCCCGGTTCGCGGGAGCCGCGCTGATGAGGGAGAGGGTAGACGAGGACGGGAGTATCGGGCTAACGCCGGCGGAGAGAGAAACACATAGCGGGGGGGG